GGCATTACGGGCAAAGCACTTGACTGGTTTTCATCCTATTTGTCACACAGATCACAGCGTGTGTCAATACGTGGGACTTTATCAGACAGCTTCGACTGCAAGTGGGGTGTTCCACAAGGCTCATGCCTAGAGCCTCTTCTCTTCAACATATATGCGTCAAAATTTTTCGCAATATTTCAAGCTGATCTCCCGGATATCCACTGCTATGCTGATGACTCCCAACTGTACCTATCCTTCAATCCAAATTCTGCTGCCATCCAGGAACAGGCTATGGTGAAACAGCCTGGAATGCGTGCAAGCCTGGCCAGAAATGGAAATAGAACAGCCTGGCCAGCAATGGAAACGTCTCTGCGATGGAAACCTGTATAAAAGATATCCGTGACTGGATGCTTGCTGATCGGCTAATGTTGAACGACGACAAAACGGAATTCCTCATCATAGGTACCCGGCAACAACTGTGCAAAGTGGACATTGATCATATCACTGTCGGGAGTTGTAACATTTCGCCAGTATCCGTGACCAGAAACTCAAAGCTAGCGAGATCACCAACGGAGACCTGCATAAGCTACTGACGGACATGAGGGCAGAGATGAATTCTCGAATGGAGTCTGGCTTTACTGATTTGGAATCTAAGGTAGACAGTCGTCAGTAGTCACTACCAAGTTTGAAGGGTTGGAGATGGACACTGCGGAAGTCAAAGCTGACCAACAAAAAGACAGCAAATAAATCGGCAGTCTGAAAAAAAACATGGTCGAACTCCAGCGTGCACTGTTAACAACTCAATGCTACAGCAGAAAATATCACTTGCTGATATACGGTGTACCCGGTCTCGAAACGGAGTGTGAACAAACTATAGAAGTGGTGAGGAAATTTGCGGCAAAAGACGCGAGGCTTGGCGGGAAATTTGCGGATGAAATGTCAATCAGAAATGCACACCGGCTACGCGAACGAGAAGGTGACCAGCCAACGCCCATTATTGTTGTGTTTTTATTCTGGCACGAGAGGCAAGCTTTCTTGAAGGCGGGGAGAAACTTGAAAGGCACACTTAAAAGTGTCCGCACCGACCTACCCCCAACATTGAAACAGTATCGCAACAAGCTGGCAACCCAAGCATACAAACTGCGACAGGAGAATTATTTCACCAGAATTCGCGAGAGGTTCCCAGACGTATGGCTAGAGACGCGAAGATTGCCATTTTTCACAGATATACCATGTACACTCCATACCATATTTGCACCATAATTCCATCATTATCACTAAACCTTTTTGTGTGGGATAATGGGTGAACATATTAATCTAGTGTCTATGACCGTCAGAGGACTGGGGGATCGTATTAAACGAAACGATATATTTAGCAAACTAAAGGAACAAAAAGCTAGCATAGCATGCTTACAAGACACGCATTTCGATGGTGAACTAAAACAAAAAATTAAGTCAGAGTGGGGTCTCCGAGTTGAAATGACATCTTATAGTTCAAATTCTAGAGGAGTAGCAGTTCTTTTTAACAACAACTTTGAATATGATATTCACAAAGTTCAGGCAGACCCAAATGGGAACTTTATAATAATTGACTTGACTATAACCAACTGTTTAAGACTCACATTGGTGAATATTTATGGACCTAATAATGATGACCCAAACTTCTACAAAAAATTTCAAAAGAATATTGATGAATTCGAGAACAATAGTATGTTAATATGTGGCGACTGGAATCTAGTTCTTAACCCAGATGCTGATACTTTTAACTATAGAAATATAAACAATCCTAATGCAAGAGAAGCTGTTATATCGCTAGCAATAGAAAAAGAACTAGTAGATGTATGGAGATGTTTCCATGAAACTGAACGACAATATACATGGCACCACAAAAATCCTATAAAAATGTCTCGATTAGATTTTATTCTCGCCTCTGAGGATGTTTTGTCTGTAACCTCCAACCAGCATAAACAACAATAAAGTTCCAGTAATATTCATTGATAAAATAGCTATTTAATGATATTTTTGAATGGTTAGAAGATAAGGTTATTGACATTTTTTCTTTGTATGAACCCTTTTTCATGTAACGGGACCTTCACGCAAATCAAAAGCAGACTACAACTGTAATAAATGATAAGGACGGCGTGGAGTTGGAGGGAAACACAATCCTTGTGAGTTGTGATATGAAGCAAGCCTGCTGATAAAAAGTAAGTCCAATTTATGAGCATGTTATTCCTCATGCAATACCACAATAACTTAGCTCTAGTTATATTTTAATTTTAAATTATAAATTAATGCTTCTGAGAAATTTTACTTTAGCATTAAAATATTCTTCTAGCTTCTTATAGAAGGCTCAGAATCAGCTATTAGGAATTAGTAATATCCGTCACTCTTGAGTAATTTGTATGCATTTGTTGACATGTGATTAAAAATATTTTTTCTCAATGTGTTGTGTGTTATTTTATTACATAACATAAACAAAACCTGTATTCATCCCTCTGAGGGTCAAATTAAATCGTCTTTATTATTCCTTGTGTCAAAGAATTTCCACTGGTCACCATTTTGAAAAAAAACGACAGCCTCAATCATGACAAGATTTTTTACCAATTACTGCTTTTGAAAGTAGTATACTTATTGACCAGATGCAAAAGCTGTATTAGGCCGATGAAAGTTGATGTCATGGTTCTCGTCAGCGCCCGCATCAAATTTTACTGTACGCTCCCGCCCAAAAAAGTTCAACACTCATCCCTAACGAAATTCCCGCATCAAAAAGTCCCCATATGAAATTCCCGCCTCAAAAAATCAACAATACTTTCGATCGGCTGCCGCGTGTGGCCCTGGCGCTGTCTGCTAAGTCGATCGCTGATTGGTCCGTTATGCCACCCCGCTACCGCGTAGGCCAAGATTAGTCTGCGGCTAGATTCGGGCGCATTTGTTACACGCTGTACTTCGGCTTCCCGCTGCGCCAGTGGAATTAAACACGACCGGCTTAGTATGCACACTGTGTAATTATGTATACGTGTCCGATACTAGTACTACTAGCTCCGGACAGCCATTCATCCGTAGGAATTTACCGATCGCTTTTGGCCGCACTGTCAGTCAAACTGATTCTTTCACTTTTGTGTGACTCATGGCAGCAGACTGCTTTTTTGAGGATGACCTTGACATGGGCCTAGTTGGTTTCTCCTCTATTCTGACTCGTTAACTCAGGTAAAAAAATAATTGTTAAACTTTTATTTCTACATTGACTG